TGTGTGTGTGTGTGTGTGTGTGTGTGTGTGTGTGTGTGTTCTTGCCACGCATGTCCCACTTATTTGTTCTCACAGTCAATAGAGTAAAAATCGAGTAGGCAGTTGGCGCAGATTACAGAACGCAACGAAATGGACCAACATTTCCTCTCTAAACCCTCAGGACGCGTTTTGTTGTCCTAATTGCCTCCCATTTTTACCCGGACAGTTCCAAAATTACTGTTCCGGATTTTCCCTTCTTGTATGTCAGCATATCACGAGTTGCCACCCATTCTTCTATGCGATTTTCTAAAGTACTCAAGCAGTCTCTTACCCTTCACGAGACTTGTGAAAGCCGACACTGCGCTTCTCAGTCCTAAGCGTCAAGGGAAAAAAGTCTCCTCACAGCAACGTCAGAATTCTCTCGCAATCCATGCACAAAGGATGAGCATCCTTTCATGTTTCACGGAATATTCGTCACAGTCTACTCCTGCTACACTGACCTATTCATCCCAGAGAAACAACACACAAAAAAGCGATCCAACAAAAGCAAATCAAACCAAGAGATTCAAAACAGAACCAGTCTTCTCTATTACACAGATTTTGTATTTTCTTTCCGAAAAGGAACTCCACTAGAGTACAGTGATCAAATTATTATATCAAAATATGAGACAAATCCAAGTAAGCAGCAAACCGACTCTTTCACATTGCCGCAGGGCGGATTTCTGGATTCTCTTGCAAAGCATCCTGACAACTTAGCACGCTGTCCATGCTTGCTTCTGTATCCATCAGATCAAATACTAGACAGAACACAGGGGCTAGATTGCCACCTTGATACATTACATGATATGGTGCACCTTTCAGAAAACACGAGAAGGGAAGGAGGGAGGCAAACAGATGTGGCCATGCCTCCTCTCCTCCTCCTCTCCCAAACCCTATTACATACAAAGTGGGAGCAGGATGGTCCACCCGTTACATGTATGCCAGTTGCAGTGCACTTTCCTAATAGAACACAAAGCGAGAGGAGCAGGCAGACAGAGATACAGGGAGAGTCGAGCGCAGCAGAGAAGACTATGATTACACGAAAGGTACTAATTACTATTAATTCTTACCAAGTTGACACCAACTTAATTGATCTCTCACTCTGCGCTACACACATCTTCTTATCTCTCTCTAAGAGGTCATAATTCATCAGGACCTTGGAGAGGACTCTCTCTCATTGCCCTGCCTCGTCGATATTGGACTTGCCGCTCGCTTGTTTCTTCTGTGCATAATGGGGGAAGGAACCTCAGTCTCTCTCTCTCCCTCCCCAACTCTTCCTGGAGCTACAGATATACTGAGCCTTAGGCCTGCTATCCCAATCCCTGTATCCTCTTTTAAGGCTGCCGAAGGCGGGATAGGGCTGTTCATACTGGCCAGGCTTCCTGAAGATCGACCTCTCCATTCCCGCCTTTCCCTCTCCTCTTCCCTTCTGCCAACGATCTCCCTACTCATTTGATTGACGCTGCCACCGTCTCCTTCTTTTCCCCCCACTCCTTGCTCACAAATACTGTCCTTGTCCGCTACCCAACTAGTATTCATTGGAGATGGTTCCCCTCCTCTCTCTCTCGAGTCAGCCATCATCACGACGTCCCTCAGAAACCCATCCAAACCCAGCGTTTCAGATCTCTGCCCTGACATGTTCCCTGAGTGAGTGGACCTTGATACTGGCTTATTTCCCACTGTGCTTGGTTGTGTCAGATCCCTTCTCTGCCTAGCCAGCTTCGCCCGACGATTATTCAGCCTGGTGGTTTTCCATCACGTCCAGTTCATTCATGCAATACAAGCTTAACACCATAGCTCATACAGCGATTCATCACACTCTGTCAAAGAGCATCTATCATTTTACTGCTGGGTCAGCTTCACATCATAGCTCATGCTGAGATCAACCATCATCCACACCCCCCCCCCTTTCCTCCCTTCCACCCTACCCATAATTTTACAATAACCTCTCTATCGCCAGAGGAATGCACTTACATGGCTCGGACGCTGAGCTAACATTGGGATGTGCCAACCAGGGCAGCGCTGCGGTTCAGGTATGTTCGTTTCGTCTCCGCCCGAGGCTTTCACCCTCTTCTTCTTTTTTTTTCGTTTCCTTTCACCCTATTTTGCTCTTGGTACAGACAGAGTTGCTAATATTCACAAAGAAAGAGACATCCACGTCCCTGCCAAACCATTACTGCACCAGTTTCCAGCCCTCCCTAACTTCAAGGCAATTGGCTGCCCACGGTGCTGCAGCAGTCCGGCTGTGGTGTCATGTCGTTTTGCTTCTGAAGCAGAGGCCATCTTGTCCGTTTCCCAGTTTCTTCTGGATGAGTTGTGCACCATAGCTCAACACAGACCATCACTTTCAATCAAAGGCTATCTCCAGGGCTCCCATACTCTTTTAGGGGGAAAAAAAAACTCATTTGGGAAATAAAGTGCTTGAAATGATCCTAGCGGGCACAGGCAGATGTACCTCGCACCCAATAACATTTTTTCCAGTGTACCCAGACATAGCATGCGAAGATGCATTCATCATGGGGGGTGGGGGGAGCGTTAGGGCGCAAAGTTCTTCCTGTGCTTTTGCAGGAATTCAACACCACAGCTCCAGTGCAGGTGATCGCTGTCAGTTGCCCCTTCACATTGTCATACACTTCCAAATACTTGCCTCGCTGTTTCGACAGACATGGGAGACAACAACTAAACAACCACATCGCTCATCACATTCAAACCATCCTTCCCCCTTTCTGCAACACAACTCCGCTTGCCCCTGTTCCCTTTCTCACACACCTCTCCCACTTATACAAGACCTAAGATCATAAGCGAGACGGTGTCGTTTGCAATCATTTGTCAATCGTTTTGCGTTTCTCCACTTTCGTCTACCTGGAAACTGACTGACCCCGTGTTTGCCCTTCAGATGAGAAGGGGAGACTAGCAACGCATCAACCATCCCCAACGCCCCGTATGCATGGCACTCTTTTGCCCTCATTTAAACTTCTCCCCTCTTCCTGTACCCCTCACCTTAATGACTTTGCTTCAATTTTCAATCTGTTGTCTACTTCCCTCTAGCTCACACTACATCATTGTGACCTCCCCTCGTCGTCTTTCTCTCTCCCATCACTTTTATGATTACTACCTAACCTAACCCTTGCACGTTTGCCAACCGCACCCAATTGCTGTCCCTAATTTCTCACGTACGCTAGTTGCATTCCCTGGTTTATTATCTTCTCCCACTTCGTTATTTCTTCAACTAGCAATCTGGCTAAACTTTCAACCACCGCTCTTCAGATGGGTGGGTATCCTCACAAACAACCTCAGTCCACTCTTCCTCCCCCCCCCCGCAATATCACCCTATGTACCCATGTCCAGAGCTTTCCATCATCACTCTTCAGATCAGCATCCGTACAAACATCGACAGCCCACTTCCTGCCTCTTTCTCCAACCCCCCATTTCAGCTTTTATGCATCCATGTCCAGGATAAAATCCAATGATATGAAACATGAGTTCGTGGACTCCATACATATCGTTAATCAGTGCGAGCAGTCTTCCTTGCACATGCTCAGCACACATGCATACCTCGAGAGAGAGAGAGGGGGGGGGAGGGGGGAGAGAGGAGGAGGATGCCTAGGCGTGCTTGTACTTTGTGTTCGTGTTTACAAATTGTGTGCACAAGAGAAGATGGTATTTGTAGATTGTGCACAATGTCACTCACCATCATCTGAGCACACTAACTTCAGAGGAAAGGAAGGAAGTTCAAGGAACCAATAAGAAAAGCATAGAACCGGCAAGGCGAAAGGGGAAAGTAGCATATGAAAGAAACAGGAACAAGTTGAAGGAACATGAAGAACGTAAGGGATATTAACAGTGTTACCAGCCGCAGGGCTCCTCACGTTCGTGCAGCTGAGCAGGAGGTGACTGCTCATTTGTCCGACCTAATGGTCGCACCTGCAGTCATTCAGTAAATTCTTTGTGAGAAAATTTCAAGATGGGACAAATACACAAAGACAACGGAAAAAAAGGAATGCATATGAAAAGTCAACGAGGCAGCAACCAACCAGCCTGGCAAAGTTGGCAAACATAGCAGGAGCGGTGTGGGTGAGGTGGAAGAGAACAGACGGGAGAGCTTAAACAACAGATACACAACGATTAAAAACAGCCAGCTGGATTGATGGAGGATCGACGCGAGCCATGCTGCTAAAAGGCCAAGATTGACAAGGGGCTACCACAGTGGGCCATGACCACCCAACGCAGCGCCTCAATGACAAGAGGGTGGACAAAATGCATGTGATTTTCAGGGTTGTCCTCGAAGCAAAAATTAACAGCAATCTTCCTCAACATCCTCTTGATAGACGGTATGGTGAACACACAGCAGCAACACCCGAATAGATTCACAAACAGAGACCAGCAACAGCACAATAGCTTCATCTAACACAGAGCAACAACACCAGAATCGTTCATCAAACACAGAGCAGCAACGCGAGGAGGCATTCGTTACAGAATAGCAAGTCACGTGGTGTGATCGTGGGAGGTGGTAAGCCTGCTAACGGATCAGTTACTGAGTGTTCCACTTCAACAATCAGGAAGCTGTGACTGCAGGACGAGAGTCGTGCTTAACCAGAGCTCTGAAGAAGGGAAAACCCTGAGATCCTCGTTTTACAGCTCCTGACATACTTCTGCACTGTGTGTGTTTGTGTGTGTGTGTGTTTTAGATTTTCCCCACAACAGCCCCAATTCCACCCAGGTGAATAGATTCAGAATCAAAGCAGTCCTTGTCCTATTGCAGACAACGAGAGCATTTGAGATGTCCAACATACTAGAGCAATTTTATAATTAGACAAGGGTACCTGTTGCGGCTTCGCTCGCAAGGGATTGAGGGGGAAATGGGAGAAATGAGTCGGGGTGGTGGGTTCGGTGGGTTTTGGGGCGGTGGTCGGGGGTGTTTTTAGACTCATGGTCCAGTGGGGGGTTGTGCCCTAACAGCTATGGCAATGTGTGTTCAGCACCTCCTGCTAGTTGGGATGGGAAGGTTCTGCAACAGCGTGCTTCGGAAATCGGCATGCTATGTCTACCCCTACTGTCTTCCCCCGACTCTAGACTGAAATCCAGCAGCGTACCTTGGTTGGTATGGCACGCAAGTGGCATTGATGAGGTCCTGGGTTCAATCCCCGTTGGCCTCATGCATCTTCCTGGGCAAGCTTGGCGCCAGGCACATAGAGAAAGACCGGAGGGGAGGCACATCCTTTTTTCCCCGAGCTTTGGAGGTGTGGCGGAGGAGCGGGGAGAGTGAAGAAGCGGGGGAAGAGGGCGGCAGGAGCAGAGAAGTCGTGGGGGATGAGCCGGGTAGTTAGTTTGGGGTCTCTCTCTCTCTCTCTCTCTCTCTCTCTCTCTCTCTCTCTCTCTCTCTCTCTCTCTCTCTCTCTCTCTCTGGTGCGCGCGCGCTCGCTCGCTCTCTCGCTCTGGTGCGCGCTAATTTTCCGTGTTTTTTTTTTTTTTTAATAAAGATCTCCCGATGTCCATGGTTCAGATATCAAACCGATCGGAACAGATACTACACTTGATCGCCATCGTCGTCGTCGTTTTGGGGGGGGGGATAGTTAGTTT